TATGAACTTCTTAGTAAATAGAGAGCCAAGGATGAAATTAGGGACTGCCTTGTAAGCAGCATTCCCCAATAATTCAAGAAGCACAATTGTACCATTACAAATAGTGTGGACCCACCACTGATTTAGCCGATATATCAAATCCTATGAAATTTTCTAAGATAATTAGTTAGGAATAGTTTGGGAAATCCGGTTTTGATCCTATCTTTTGCTGAATTTGCTTTTAATAGTTTAATTAAAAAGACAATGGCAAAACTCCATCTGAATTTCGTGGATAAAAACTCATTGATATACTAATGTATGCATATTATGATTATTTTATATATTTTAATCAGTACTAAGATTGCATCAGGATGCTAGGAAACAAACTATGAGAAATATAGAAGATTAAAATTATAGAAGGTATACGAGCTTCAAGAAATATGATAGAGTGATTATATCTTAGCACATATTAGCCCTTAAAATTCCGCCCATGTAATATTCAAATTTCCTTACAGTACATGCCAAGTTTCTTTTAACTCAAATATACTTAAAATATCAACTTCCAAAAAAATCATCGAAAAAACATGTCATTATGTTCTACTCGTCAAATGAAGCAAATTGATTGATGTATAAAAGTATATGCTAATTTGCAAAGGTGTGAAAGCTATTGAATTAAATCTCATTTGAATAAATTTCCTAAAATAAAAAAATTGTTTTACTGTTCATTAATACAAAACATGAAAAGGATGGAGTAGCTCCAGTGGAAGATAAGGTTAAAGAGAGTCGCTTTAGATTGTTTGGTCACATAAAACGGCGGACTTCCGATGATCAGGTTAGGAAAGAGATGTATTAAATTTGACTTATGTTAAGAAAGGTGACACCGAAGTGTGCTCTATTTTTCTAGCTAGTTGTTTTCTTCTGTTCGTATAGCCTCATGTATAGCCTAATATGTTTTCTCTTCTCTGTTTTGAAACACAGGGCTATAAAGCCTTAAGAAAATAAAGGCGGGACATATTTCTTTTGGACTCAAAATTACTTTGACTCTTTTATTTGAGTTTTGTTGTATACTGTAACTAGTGCAGGTGGTGGCCAGAACCCGACGGGAAGGCAGAGAACTTCAGTTGGAGTTCGATTAAGAAGGTAATTGGATTTGCCTTCTCCAAGATTGACGAACTTTCATCTTTCGATCACCTAGCCGGTGTCAAATTGGTATCAGAGCCGGCGAAGATGCCGCCTTGCAAGAACCCGCAGCGACCGACGAGATGTGATCATTGAAGATTTACAAAGAGAAATTCAGCAGCTCCAGCAAAGGTTGGCACGATTCGAACAGCGAGAGCTAGATCAAGATGTTCAAGAAGAGGAAGAAGAGGTGAATCCGTTCCATCAAGATTCCCACATTGAAGAAGAAGAAAGAAGAGCCGTGCCTGGTCGTATGAGGCATCACAGGGACGATGGCGGAGTGAAGATCGATCTCCCTGAGTTTGATGGTCGATTGGATCCTGATGAGTTTGTAAACTGGATCTACACCATAGAAAGAATCATAGATTTTAAAGAAATTCCACCATATCAGATAGTCAAGATCGTTGCCATTAAATTGAAGAAGAGTGCCTCACTATGGTGGGAAAACTTGAAACGATGTAGAGATCGTGAAGGACGTAGTAAAATCACAAAAATGAAGAAGGAGCTTCAGCGAAAATATCTGCCAAAAAGATACCGACAAGAATTGTTTCTAAAACTCCATTGGTTGCAGCAAAATCAACTATCGGTCGAAGAATACATTGCCGAGTTTGAACAATTATCCCTTCAATGTGATTTATCCGAGCCAGAGGAGAATACTATTGCTCGATTCTTGAAGGGATTACATACCCCAATTTCCAATGTAGTCCAATTACAACCGTATTGGACATTGCAGGATGTCTTTAATCTTTCCATTAAAGTGGGAAAACAGCTGCGTCCTAATAGGTGGATTCGTGGGAAAACGGTAGCTCCAGAAGATGGAATGGATAGGAACCATTTCAAGAAGACAGATGGAAAATCTGTAGGAGTGGCACCAGGAAGTAAGGATGCCAACAAACCTTCTAATGGAGTACCGAAATTTCCTGGAACGAATGGCTTGGCTCCAAGAAAATGTTTCAAGTGTCAAGGTTTTGGACATATTGCCTCAGGGTGTCCAAATAGTAGAATTATTACACTCATGGAGGAAGTTGATCCCGATCAAGAAATGGTGTGTGAGCCTGAATCGGAGAACATTCCTAAATCGTTGGACACCGAGACTACTATCATAACCGTAGACGAGGGAAGTTTACTTGTTCTTCGTAGGTTGCTCAGCTCTCAGAAGGAAGATACGTGTCAATAACATCGTATTTTTCAAACCAGATGCACAGTAGGCGAGAAGGTCTGTCAAATGATCATTGACAGCGGGAGTTGTGAGAATGTAGTGTCTACTACTATGGTTGAAAAGTTGGCATTCCCCACCAAGAATCATTCCAAGCCATACGCACTCTCCTGGATCCAAAGGGAGAATGAAGTCCGGGTAACAAAACGCTGTCTTGTTAATTTTTCTATTGGGAATATTGTGGATCAAGTGTGGTGTGATGTAGTATCGATGGATGCTTGTCATCTCCTGTTAGGCCGACCATGGCAGTTTGACAGGAAAACTGTTCATGATGGAGAAACCAACACGTATTCTTTTAAGCATCAGAACAAGAAAATGTCATGTTAAGGCGATAGGCATGAGGGAATGAATGGAATCACAAATTATCAAATGTGCTAGAAAAATCTATATTTTGCTGATGTTATACCATTAAATAAAAGGAAAGTGATCTGTGGAGGCTTTCTCTTGTAAATGCATTGTATACTCGTTATTTTAAATTTATATATAATAAGTGTAATTGACGAAGTATTATCAAAATCTGATATACCAAAGAAAATGTCATGTTAAGGCGATAGGCATGAGGGACAATGCAACCTCGGTACAAAGAAGGCAACAACTATGAGGAAACCTACAGGTTATGGAGGCAATGCGACCTCAATATGATGAAGCCTATGGGCTACAAATAACCTAGACCTAGACATATTAACATTACATGTTCTCATGCAATATAGATGATATAAAATGTAAAAGGAAAGATGTTCAATTAAATGAATGGTGTATGAGATTAAATCCAAGATTAAAGATTTACAACAATTGACATGATATTACTTTCCTTGTAGTATCATGATGTGTATTTTACCTTTTTTATTCAAATGAGTATATTAATATTAAATGGACTTTAGATACATCTCGTTCATACAATTTATGCATATTAATGATGTATCATAAAGCAAACATAAATTGATTACATATAGTCATTACACTTATATGCTAATTACATCTTTTGAACATTTGAATCATGTCTTAGAGCTACATATATTTCTAAATCTGAGCATTCTGATTCTTTTATAAGAAAGGAGAAGAATAAAGATGAGGTTGAGTTGAAACAAGTTTAAAAACTGCCTTATGTTTTGTTGTGTAAAGTTTAATGTTAAGCGCTAATCAGAGGTATGTAAGATATTTGTTTTTATGAATGTTTGCGGTTGTTGGTTGCTATGTAAATATAAATTATCAATGAAATATTAGACAGCTTTTGCTTCATTATATGTTGTGAAGCTTTATTTTTCAATATAGAACATAATTACGTGAAACATTAATATTATATCAATTGTTGAATTCTTGTATTGTGTCCTATGTTGTAAGATAAGAATAGGTCTGTGTGTGGCATGACAACCCATCACTTAAATGCTTGGAATTCTCAATTTTATAAATTATTAAGCTTGATCCTAATGTTATATGTATGATTCACCACCCAATAATCAAGCTAATCCTACTTATAATGTGGAAGATCTTTTGTAGTATCGGAATGTAATTGGGTCTTGGGTATTACTTATGGGTGGGGTGTTACTTTAGTTGTAATGTTCGCGTTCATTCCAACTGTGAAAATGCCTCTTACCATCGGTCCCTAGGCAACATGAAATTGATTAAATAGAGATTGATAATATTACACTTCAGTAACTGATTGACATCTAGTTCATTAGTCTAAAATTCACCAACATATAATGCATGGATGACAAGTGAAAAACTTAGTTTGAGAACCCCAAACCTTATAAAGGAATCATAGACTTAAACTCGATATAGAAAAGATCCTCTCATCCTAGGAGGGTTGATGGAGTCCATAAATCTTCATAATCATTATTGACATTCCGACATATATTATACTAGATTTGAAATTAAAAGTTGTTGCATGCTAATATGTATAGCCTTTCCTCAAGTTGTATAAGGTATTTATGTCTTCTCTTCCTTTTGGACTCATCTGTTATTATGCCATTAGTGCAAAGGCCATTACATAATATTTTATGTCATTCTATTCCTCTTAAACCAAACTTCTAATTAATGCAATCCACTTAACTCCCCTTGAAAACTTCGGCCAACATAAAACCCCTTCTTTGAGTTATTGTAATGACTACTCTAAGAGTTTCAAAATTTTGTATGAAACAAATATATTCCGTTCTCTTAGGTATATTTTCATCCAAGATCCACTAATCTTCTCGATATTTCCAACAGATTTATACCAATTATCCAATCCTTCACATGCAAAGCAGCCCCTAAGCCCCTTGACGCATTCTTACTAGCAGCCACTCCATCATTATGATCGGAAAAAAAAAATTATCTAGGAAAAGTGATACTGGTCAGTATCTACCAATATTTTCCACCAATCAACACTCAAAATAAAGTTGGAGGATGCATGGAGGGTGCATAGCTATCACCACAATGACAGACATTTAAGCTCCCATAGGATTATGTCTATATTATTTAGGAGCCTGCAATAACATTAGCAAGACAACATAAATGAAAAGCAAATAATGCATACTATTCAAAAACTGAAAATCAGCTGATCACTTCATTCTTATGTTGAACAGAGCTTTATAAGCAAATGCATACTGAACAATAAAACTGCACAAATGGGCTTTTTTTACCTGCATACCTCAATCCATTCGGAGCTGTACTCACAATATGGTGCTCGATAAAGCTTTACACGGCCATCAGAGGTGCAGACAGCAAGAAAACATCTGTATTCATAACAATAAGAAAAATTAGTAAGTAACATGTTTCTAAAGTGCAATCTCTACTCAACTACAGTAAACATTAAGTAGCATGTTACTTTTATGCTACAAAAATACAACAAAAGTAGCATCTATATCAAAAGATCTAGCAATTTCAAACCCCGAGTTTGGTGCAAGTCCTGGAGGAGACCAAGAAATTGACCGAGCACATGGAAGAGTGTCCCTTGACAAACAAATAGGTTGTAAACAGGGGGTAAAATCTGCAAAAAAATTTAAACAGAAAAAATGATAAATGACGCCCATCACATATATCAGCTCCTATGCAAAGGTGTGCCAACAATTATACAAAATTAAAGTACTAGATATAATCCAATGATTCCCTCTTTAGAATATAATTTATTATATAAATCATTAAAAGCTAAAATCTTTGCATCGCATATTGCTTTTTTAGACACCTTATGAGCCTCTTTATATATTTCCCAATTTTATAATTTTTACATCTAAACCAATTATTATAACAAAGATTCTTATTTTTTAATCTTTTCTTACACATTTTGATTTCATAACTAATTATTTTTATTATAAGGAGTTTTTTCTACTAAAAATTCAAGCACATCCTTTGCAACATTCTTAATATAACTAGCAACTTTTCCCACATAATATTAGCTTCCTCGTGTATAAATAAAATCTTAAGATCTAGAATTTTACTCTCAAAAATATTTTTGTTAATATTCTTTAAATGCCCCATCTAATCCTATAACAATTATTTACTTTATTTTTTATCTTATGACCCTTCAACTTAAAGTCCAAAACTAATAAGCGATGATGGCTACATAAGCTTTTACTCAGAATAACTTTACAATCTTTGCAATCTAAACGATCTATCTTTCTTATAAAAAAATAATCAATATGAGTTTTTTATTTCATTCTTATAAGAAAAATAATCAATCATTTCTTAAATAAGGAATTATAAAATTATAAGCTAGAGAAAAATCCAATATGGTCTTAACACCTTCATTAAACGCTTAAAAGTCATAGCCACCATGAATGCTTTTAAAATCATCTACCTCTCTACCAACATGTCGATTTAAATCCCCTCCAATAAATATTCTTTCGGCGAGATGTATCTTTTGCATAAATTCTTCTAGGTCATTTTAAAATTTTAATTTTAAACACATGTCAAACATACTTGAGGACAGCATAAGCACTTATAATATTAATAATCTAAGTATCAATAATAATCTTCAAAGCAATAATTGTGTCTCCAATTATATCAATTTTTATAACATTATCATTTAAACTCTTATCTATAATCACACATACATTTCTAGTATGACTTCTACAAGAATATCAAAGTTTAAATCATAAACTATCAATATTTTTAGTCTTCTCTCCAATCCATTATCCTTCTCACTACATCTGACCACCCAAAATTGAATTAGGTTGAATTCATATCAAGTGGTAGTGGTCAGGAACTCATATTGAATTCATGTTTACCCCAACTCAATATGAATGTCAATTAAATTTGAAAGAGCGTCAAAACATTTTTGCAAGATAGAACCAATCAGAGTAAAGGTTTCAATTTAAGTGACTTAAAAATCGGCCTCATATAAGACAGATCTGAAACAAGCCAAAATCTTTCAATTTTGGGTGGCACTTTATTAACTTTGACATCCATGGCATTAACAAATCATGTAATCTTCACATATAAACATGTGAGCATATCAATTACTTGGAAAGTGTGCTATGGTTTGTCACACCAGGATCAACACATCAAGTCAAGGAGTGCCATAGTACCATTTACGAGCATGATACAAAGGCATGATTGTGCACATCACTTATGTTTTTACTGCTTAAGGATTAAAACCCCAATAATATTGGATTCATACCAAAATCAACAATAATTACTCAATGTTTTAACCTTAGTTAGATTTATGCCCCGGTTAGCATCACCCAACCAATATCCTCCAAAAAATTGTGCATTTAAACATAAAGAAATTTCCATATACATGAATACACCAATGCATGTTTCCACTTTCTAGTATAAAATGCATTCAAGCTAGGAAGAAAATATGTCCCCTTGAATTCACGTATATTCAATTATATGTACATGTAGAGGGTAAAAACTTGCTATTTACCATTTCTTTCCACCAAACCTATACGGAAAGGTTTGTTCTGGCGAAGTGTGATCATTGCCCGAGCACTAGAAAGTGAAGCTGGATTCTGAAAGATGGAAAACAAATAACCCAATAAAATGAAAATATTAAAAAAAAAACTACTTCCACGACATATATTTCATCAACTATATGATAATGGTTTTTCATCATTAGATAATTGCCTCACCAGAATAGTGATGAGATGCTCCGAAGAAATAGCCACCAAGTTCTCCTTCGACCACACTAAGGAATTGGGATATGATGGAACAGCAACTAAAGTGGCAGCCTGATAATTTGAAGGAATTGCTTCCATGTCCTGAAGGAATTAATTGAAGGAATTGACGACGTAGCTCGGGACTCCGCACGTAATAATTTCTCCCTCCCCGCAGCCGCGCGAACGCGACCCGCTCCCGACGTCCGACCCGGCCTCCCGTTCCGCGCGCAGCACTCCCGCGCTCCCTGCCGGCGTCGCGCTAGACCTGACGCTCGACCCGCTCCCAATTGCGACCCTGAAGCCCGCAGAACGGCCTGAACTCGTCCCGCCGCCCGCGCGTCTGCGCGCCGTTCCTCCCGGAAGCCGCACGCCCGTACCCGCGTACCTCTGACACGATCCCGCGCCCGACTCCTAGTGTCTCGTGACTATGTAGATTTTGAAGAAGAAAAATACCGAGAGAAAAAAAATAAACAAAAAATTGTGCAATTTTTTAATATATATATATATACGATTAAATTTTTAATTCTATAATTAAGTATATAAAAAAAAATTACACGTACGTAAAATAGTCACTTAAACGAATGATTATTATATTCGGACACCTGACGTAGCTTTACATTCGGACGCTAATAACATGTCGTCACGTGCTCTTACTCTTTACCTCGCGGCCCGACGACCCGGACCTGGTATTGCTATGTATTTGGCTGATTTGTGTATTGCTTAGTATTGATCAGCAATAATGATAAATATCACTCCGTTAAAGTTCAATACCTAACAATACCGAGCAATACCTAGCAATACCCCGGTTTTGCTAGGTATTGATCAGTATTGCTCGCATTGTTAGGTATTGATCTTGAATAAGCGATATTTCTTATTATTATCAAGCAATACCTAGCAATACCGAACAATACCGAGCAATGCTTAGCAATTCCCAAACAAAGCAATGCCGGGTTTCGGTCTAGGTCGGGTCGTCAGGCCACGCAGTAAAAAGTAAGAGCACGTGGCGACATATTATTGGCGTCAGAATGTAGAACTACGTCAGGTGTCCGGACCTAATAATTATTTGGGCAACTGAACGCTGATTAAGCATAATTCAATCAGCTCTCCCGTAGCAAGTCCTCCATTAAACAGACGACTTGCTACAGTAAAATATAATTTTTACTAATTTTTTTGAAGTTAAAATAAAAATTTCTCTAAAATCAAATCATATTTGTTTTTTTAGACTTACGAATTAATATTATGAAAATCAAACTGGACATGTAACCGAAAGAATGTGAGATTCAAGATTCAATTGTTCTATCGGGATCAAATAATAGTTGAACCAGATGACATAATAAATATAAAAATTATTTTAAAAATTTTAAATAATAGAATTATCATATCTTGCGCAGTTTTAAATTTATACATATTTAATTTTTAAATTTAATAAAATTTTAGCTTACATATGAATTTATAAATTTAATATAAATTATTATTAAATTTTATTATATGTTGTGACATAAACTATACCTATAAATAATATATAGGTATAAAGTATATATTAAATTCATGTTTTAAATATATATATAAGCTTAGATTATTTATTTTTAATAGATAATTAAATTTTATCGTACATAAATAATAAAATATGTATATGATTTATTTAATATTATTTATTAAAAAATGTTATTGACATCATAAACAATTTGTTTTAAGAAAAATGTTTTGGAGCATATTAAAAACTTCAAATTATTTAGTTCCAAATAACTTGGGAATTTCCTCATTGTAATGTTATAAATCAGTGTCAGAGCTAGAAATTTTTAAAAAAAGGGACCCAATTTAAAATTTTAAAATAATTTCCAAAAAATTTCTCATTATCTATTGATTGTAATGTCCTTTTTTTTTAATAAACTTTGTTAGGTTAGATCTATAATTTTTTGTTCACATCTATAAGATCTTTTGTTTTTTTACAGCTGTAATTTTTAGATTCTATTTTAGATATAGACTTAGATAAATATAAATGGACTTTTTCAATTTTTATTTGATTGATTTGTTATTTTAACCTAAGCGCTAATGACTTCTCCTATCACAGCCCGACCCAATCAAGATAGATCTCATTGTGTTGAGCTATGACAGACAATTCCCAATATTAACTTTTGGAATGTTCACAACCTCTTCCAATTTCATTTCAAATAAAGCTATGTACAACAAAACAATTAAAATATTCAAATACTAAAAATAAACCCATCCACAAAATTTCTTTCACTTCATCAAAATAAATGGATGTACTAGTGTACATGGTTGTACTCAAGAGCTACATAATTGAAAATTTAACTAGTTATGATTGCACACAAATCAAAATAGTAAAAGATCAATCAACTCATATCTGATCCTAAACTGCTAATCTACAACCTCCTTCCTTTTTCCAGACCCAAAAAATTATAATCAACTATATAGTGAGCTACAACAGCTCAACAGATCACACAAGCCAATCTAAAATTTCGAAATTTCTTTTATTAATATTTTGTTAAATATAAAAAAAAAAATCAATACTTATATTGGGAAAGGAAATAAAAGCATAGCAATTATCCAATTTATGTCACATAAATGTTGGATATAAAAATTATAAAGCAATTATATCACATAGCAATTCATATTATATATTTTGATTTCATATAAAATCTCAAAGGATTATGACCCTTATTTCTCCATTTTGTGTTTATAACATCATAACATACATACATGCATGAGAACATGGCTTATAGGCACCAAAACATGCCTTATAGGCATTAGAATAATCCTTGACACATATAAAATATATAAAAAATGGCTCCTTATAATTCCCAACTAATAATTTTTAATCATATAAACATACATTTCATCACATAAATATATATTTCATCATATTTTAATAGTTAAAGAAAAATTAAACACATTCTAGAATTACATAGTATTGTATAACGATAGACAATTGAACTTCTTATTGAGCAAATTTTTATAATGTTAAAATGTAATTAAATTACAAAGGAATATGTAAAACGCTATTTTAAGACATTTATTGAACTACAACGTTAATTTTCAGTGTCTAGTATGTTCAATTAAAAGCGCACAAATACCAAAATATCTGATATAAAACTTTCAAAAAATATTCAAAATATTAATAATATTGTTTTCTATTGTATATAAAAAGTTAGATAGTGAAAAATTTACCCATGTAAAATTAAACATGTTTTTTCGCAAACAAAAATACATTTTTAATAAAAAAAATTTATAAAATTTTCATATATTTGAAAATTGAGATAGTTATAAGTTGACGTACCTCGATTCAAACAATTTTCTCAACATGGCCACCAGGTTAAAAATTATTATATAAATTTTATTAAAATAAATCTTTGGCCAAATCCCAAAAATCGACCGAACCAGAGGATTTAAAGCCCGAAACCATTTTCCCGCCTCATTGTTGCCTGCTTCCCGCCATTATTCCTTCCTGAACAATAACTTAGAGGCGTAAGGTAATCAATAATAACTTAGAGGCGTCTAGGGTTTGCCTCTTTTCATCGCTGCTGTTCTGCTTCGTTACTTCGCAGGAGGTGTAGAGATTGCAGGCGTCGCTTCTTCGGTTCCTTGCGGCTGATCGACTGCGCTCCTTCCACTACTTTCCCTTCCTGTCGGATCGGAAGTTACGACATTTTGATCGGAAGCAACAACGGGAGCTCGCTGGCTGTGAAGTTAATTTTCTCCCTTTCGCGCGCTTCTTCGTCCAAATCCCGTTAATCCGCCGAACCGAGGGATTTAGTAAATCCCGGATTTATGCCGTAAATCCTATCCGGGATTTATCCATCGCCGGGATTTAACGCGCGCACATAAACGTTTGGCTGGTTTTAGCTTAAATCCCGCTGTGAATCCGATACCAAACATCCCCTAAAGAAGAAAAGAAAAAGGAAAATTTGCATACCTCTCAGATCTCTGAACATATCGTCTTTGTCGTCAGCATCCATGGACATCTCCTCCATCGCCGCCAAGCTCGGCCTCAACAATACTAAGACTCTTATTCGCAAGGCCGCGGAGCTCCGACGCCTATCCGACGTTCAGTTCGATTCTTCTATCATTGGAGTGGTAATCATCTCATTCTTTCCGGCATTTGATCAAACTGTTTGTGTGCTATAATAATTATTCTTCTTAATCTCAACAGGGGGAGGTCGTCAAAGCCATCGTTTGCTTGGAAATCGCAGCTTCTAGGTATGAATTGTAGGCTATCGCCCTTTTAGATTTTTACTTTCTATCTGAATCAGTTTGATTGAATTTGGAGGAAATTTATTTATAGGTTACAGATTATATTTGACCGTTCAGCGGCAATTAGGATGAGTGGAATGTCGGAAAAGGCATACATCAGATGTTTCAATGCAATGCAGAACGGGATTGGAGTCAAGTTTGTTTCTTTTCTTTTATCATGTTATTAACTTAGATCGAATATTATGTGCTTTTTCTCTCCAGTAGAAAGTTAACACCGGCCTTTGATTCACGATTCTTCTGCAGGGCAAGGTTGGATGTTCGCGAGCTTGCGATCCAGTTCGGTTGCGTGAGGCTTATTTCATTTGTGCAGAAGGTCTTATCTCTGTGAGTAACTATAGTTTCTTGCTTCAATATTATAGTTTATATATTTTTTAAATGAATTATAGCAAGTTTACTCATGCAAAAAGCACATGAAGGATTCCCACTTTGAAGAACCAAGGGCTAATGACATACAAAAAGAAAAGAAATCGATTAATTAAATTATGGGAGATTTACATACATTGCACTTAAAACCTTTCTAATTACACATTTGGCATGTTAACTTCTATATGTACACAATATAAAACATTCACTAACTCTATTTTTGAAACTCTCGACCATGACTTAGAGGAAATTGTGACTGATCTCATCGCAGATGAAAGGTCATACTGGGATATCATCGTGAAGGGCCTTCAATTTCCCCTCTTGCTCGGAACATGCTTCAACGAAATCAACTTTAATTGTTGCACATAAACAAGGCCTCAAAATTTTATTAGGAAGGGTATCAATAGAACTGGCAGGCATGACCCAAATATACATAACTCTTATATTGGACGGGTCACTTGGTGTTTGATGCACAGGAGGTCATATCCATGATTTATTTGAAATATTTTTTTCTTTTGTAAATAGTAATAACATTGAGCCACTAAAATTATAAAAATATAGTAAATAAAATCATCAATATCTTCTAGTTTATATCACATGGTTAAATAATAAAAAAAAAATCCATTTGCAATAAATATGGTTCATCTATCTTTAACCATCATCATGTCATATCACAATAATTGAAAAATAATAAATTATTAAAAGACATACTTATAAATAAGAATATATCATCTCTATATCTATTAATTTTGTTATATATAAACTAGAAATGAGCTTCAATCGCTCAATACCATACCCCATTTCTTAAGTCCCATACCTGCTGGTGACTCGTTTGGCTATCCCATTATGGCTGTGAGTCAGGACCCATCATCTTACTTTGTTCCTAATTCATTTGTTTTGCCCACTATGTTCTTATCCTTCCCTATTAAAGACAATCTCTCTCCTAGTTTGATGAATTTACTAGATGACACTGTCAACCCTAGGAGACTACCTAAATGTTCCCCATCGCCATATCTTGAAGGCTCCGTAACCTAAAGTGCTGTCCACTCTTCCTCAAACGCATAAGCAACTACGCCGGAGCACCGTATTTGTCGTTCCCTTGGATAACTTCTTTCTTTGGGTAAACTCTTCGTCCAAACTCTCTTATCTTCCTAGTTTACTTTTCGTTTATGGTTATTAATAGATTCATGAAGATCATGTCAATTATTCACCGCTAGAACCTAGTAATAGAAAGAGTTGTGTGAGGGATCTTCTCATAGCAACTAATCTTATTGTTAGTATTGGAATTTCTCGTTGAAACCACTCATGCATGCAAAGTAAGACTTAGTTAACTATTTAATGATCTCAACCTCTCGCATGTGTTTAACCTAAGCTAAGTACCACTTAATTTTTATCTTATTGTTCAATTCCGCATAAGATTTTACTTATTATTGCCTCTAGACCTAAGCGTGCAAACTTCTTTGAGCAAATCATTTTCGCATGGGATTGTTTCACATCAAATAGGCTACACAAAATTTACCTAAACTTTTAAGATGCCAAAAAGAAAGTAAATAAGCTAGTTATTTGATCATCGAGTTAGAAATAATTAAATATGCTATAGTTATATAAACTTTTACAGTAATGATCATGACAGTAATATTATACATAATGTTTAACACATTAAATATGTTGTCATATTGAGCCCATTGTGAACAACAACAACAAGCCCTTATCCCACTAGGTGGGGTCAACCACTTGAATTTTTTCTCCATTATATCTTAGTAATATTTAATTGCTCATTTAAATCTAATTAAAAATATATCATTTTAAATAAATTTTAACCAAGTATTTTTAGGTTTATCTCTATCTTTCTTAACATAAGTCGAATCTAATGCCTCTACTCTCTTACCAGGGTCATTAGAAGGCCTATGTTTTAAGTGACAAAATTATTTAAGACGACTCTTTCTAATCTTATCTGTCATTGGAGTTACTCTAATTTTTTAACATATATAAATATTTCTCATTCTATCCTAAACCCTAAACCCTAAGTGTAAAGCCACTCATTTACTTGAGTATTCTCATCTTTGCAACACTTGGTTTTATGCTTTTCATTTAATGGCCAACATTTTATGCCATAAAATAATATAAGTCTCATCACCATTTTATAAAATTTTCTTTTAAGTTTGGACATTTACTTTTCTATCACACAACATACATGATTCATTCCTCCACTTCAACCATCCAACATATACAACATAAATTATATTAATAATATTTTCATCTATTTCACTATCACTTTGAATAGTAGACTCATGATATTGAGACACGTGCACTCCTTTTAATTACTTGATCACTTAACATCACAATCTCCCAATTAGATCTATTACTGCTAAAATCAGGTTTACAACAACAAAAATATTCTTTTAATACTATAAGTTAAGTTTGTTTCACTAAAATTTCAAGGTAATTGTAGTATTATCACTAGACAATATTTTTGTATAATTATTTGAATATTAAACATATTTAAAATAATCCTTTTAAAGGTATATTAGAGCACTTTGTTAATCCAAGATGTATTTATTTTGTAAAAATCAAGCAAACAAACATTTAGTTATGAAAATTTTATTAGATAGAATTATGTCTGCAGATATTAAACTGGCGGTGTGTGGTGACAAGATTGAGCTACATGCGAAAGGGGTAGTGAGGTTGATGGCATGTGAAGGTGGCAATAGGACATGTTATGAAGAAGACACGGTGATATTTGGATGGCGTTTGAAATTTTAATGAGATAAGTGCTATAATTGTTGTTGTAAAAATTTTAAGTGTTATGCGAGTAGATAGTGAAATTTAGGTGTTAAATATGCAAGTTGAAATTTTTTTAGTGCTATATATAAAAATCTCCCTTAAATCATTTAACTCAATCCAATGCTTTTAGTTGAATGACTTACAACATTATTTTTCATATCCTTCTAAAGATGTGAGTTGAGTTGGCTCGTGAGCCGGTTCAAACTAAACTCGATAACATGCTCGCGAGCTCAAGTTCGAGCTTGACAAGGCTCGACTCGCAGGCTAACTCGAATGTATATAAAGAACTTTTTAAATGCTTATTATTTTCGTTAAATTTAAATGTTTAAAAATATTAATAATTAAAGCTTTGGTTCAAAAAAAAAACAAAAAAACTGCTGTGGTTTCAAAAAAATAAAGCTGCAGCAATGCAACCTAATAAAAAAAAACAACAATTTTCATAAACTGTTAGTATATATTCCCTAGGGCAAAAAAGCCACAACATTAATTATTTCAATTAAGTAACTCAACATTTCAACTTCAACGTATTTCTCCATAGGAAAAAAATGTCTTCTTCTCTGTCTGTGTGCATCGACGCTCCATTGGAAAACTTCATGGAAAAAAAGTGCAACATCAACTCTTATTCTTCTGCAGTCGTGATCCTGTTATCGTTTGATTGGTTCTTTTAAGGCGAGCTCATGAGCTAGCTCTCACGAGCTTGCATTTATTGTATGAGTCAAGTTCAAGCACGTCTTTCGAGCTCAAGTTTGAGCTCCCTATTTGGCCGGCGAGCCGAGCTTGAGTTAGGTCTGACTCGAGCTCGGCTCAACTCGTTTACACCCCTAGTCCCTTCACTTACCAAGCAAACTGCATCAAGGCTATTAGTTCATTTCGTAATGACTATTGATAAAATTAAAAACACCTTTCAGAAACTAAAAAAAATTATAGTTGCACTCCTTCCTTGCATATTCCAGGTGCAAGTTTTGAACTCCACGTGCAAGGCAATTACACATACGAACAATACAAATAAATTTGCACCAAAGGAGATTGTTAACAAAAGGCAATCTTCAAATTTTATCACGATTTAAAGATTCCTTGACATCTCTTTCGTTCCATTTTTTCAGGCTTCCTATTCAATAAACATTTGTGTTACATTGTTAGAAATACCATTGTATAATTTAGGATTAGGTTTTAACCAATTATGGGATGAAATTCAAGTATTTTCAACACTTCGTGAAAGGTTCATAAAAATTTAATGAAATTCCTCATAAAGTTCGTCTTGGAATCCCAAGGAAACTCTTTGAGGATTACTCTATTTGCTCTCCTGTAAATGAACAATGAATTTCTTGTAAAAGTTATTTGCAGTTTGTGCTACTAATTTCTTAAGAACTTTGTTTTCATTTAAATCCCATTTACAGTTTGCGTGCTAGCATTTGGCATTGAAGCATTGTACTCTCAAACTATTTGCAATGATATGGGCATTTGGCTTGATTTCGTACCAGTGGTTTGTGCCTTTGAATTCTCTTGATAAAGTTTGAGTTTATTTTTATTTTTTAACGATAGATTATTGGAGGGTATTAGGTTTTAAACTTTGCTGCCTATAATTTTCATGTTATGCGGACTTGAGTTTCCTTTGGGACATCGTTCTTATTGCTTTTTTAAATGATTTTCTAGTACATTTTTTTTTTAAATTAGAAATTTTTGTATTAAGAAGCTGCTTTAAAAGTAGTAAAAAAAGCCGTTCCAAACAAAGCCTTAATTAGATGTTTTTTTGGCTTTGTATAGATTCAGCTTTCTTTCGCTTGAACTGATAGCTTGGAAAGAGATGTTTCTAGTTATCATCATAATATATATATATATATATATATATAGAGATGTTTCTAGTTATCATCATAATATATATATATTTTTATCGTAATTGTTTGAAACCAGTTTTTAAACTCGCACTATTAATCACTTTCTGACATAGGATGACAAGTATTGCTCTTTACTGTAAAATTTTGATTTCATACTTTGAATTAGATACTTACATGTACCACTTTCTTTTTTAGCTACAAAGATCGATTTCTAGCGGCATTGCCCGCCTCTCGTAGAGCAAATACCGACTTTAGTCGTCCGGTCTTTACAGCAGTTGCATTTTTTTTGTGTGCTAAGAAACATAAGGTAATTTCTTAATTGGAATATTGAGTCAATTTACGTGTATATGTGTTTAACTAGAACATTATTTCAACATGCAGCTCAAGGTAGACAAACACAAGCTCATTGAACTTTCTGGCACATCCGAATCAGAATTCTTAACTGTAAGAACTTAAGTCAAGAATGGTCAAGTTTCATTTTTCGGTTTACCGTTCCATGATGAGTTTTTTTTTCTAATTTTTTTTCTTGTGATATAGATTATGAATTCCATAAATGATTTGTGCTTTGATGTTATTGGAAGCTCAAAGGAAAAGAAAGATACACAGGGTGTGAAAGGCCATCGAGGTACATTTTTTTTCCCTGATAAAGTGAGTTCTGACTTTGGTGGAACTCTCCCTATATAATCCTTCTTATAGACTCTTTACAATTGTAGAATTGCTAGATACATTGCCTAGCAAAAGGTTGAGACAGGATGATAGTGATGCCTCTGATGATTCTTCCATAGATATTGAAGATGATATTGAGGTAATTAACGTTGCTTGATTTTTTTAAAAATGTAAAAATATTAAAAAAATTGTTTTATGTTAATCATATTTTCTTAATAGACATTTACTTATTTGAATGCATTTATGTAGGCATTACAGACATAAATACTTATTTATGAAATGCATAAATTTGCATGAACTTGTTCATTAAGACTACTAATCCATAAAAATACCTAAATGTTAATCATGTCAATGGATTACCATAAATTTTCTGTCTTCAAACCAATCTAATCAAAGTTTGTCCAACAAATAATGTTTACACTTGAAATCATGCTCGTGTAAGGTGAAATTAATTGTTACTCCAACAGTTTCAAGTCATCATACTTCTTTACGAATTAAAATATTTGAGACGTTGTACCTGTAAATAGCTAGAATTACAATATTTTTTACTTGTCAATACAGCTGCAATTATAGTTGAACAAATAAATCATCTTTGATGTTGCATGTTATAAAATTTTGGTGTATTGAGCTTGAATGATACTACTATTCAAGGGTTTCATAGCATTCACAATCTCATTTCTATCTGCTCAAATGGATGCAGCTTCCTTGTTATAAGAAGCATAAGCAGATGGAGAAAGAAGAGTACAAGAAGTGGAAATCCTCAGTCACTTTGTCGAACAAAAAAATCAATGAAGGTTTTTATTCTCCTTTTTTCCCTCTTTTGCATATAATAGTTAGATCTCAAGTGGAAAGATTTATCAATACTGCCCTTTTTGTCCAACAGCTCCTGCCAAGCGATCCAGGCAGACTCGACTCAACTTCTTCGGAAAACTCCAACAATAATTCCAATGAAAGCCTGTTTTATTGAAAAATTAATGAATGTTTTCCGCATCACATTTTTGTTGCATTTTTTAGTACAATTTTGGCTTATTTGTATAATGAGCAAATGACCTCAAATGTCTTGTGTTATAAATCTTGAAAACGGCAACACGGCTCCACTTTTTCCTCCAACTATATGAGAAGGGAAATGGATATGCACATTTTAAAAATTCGTGTACAATGTTTTAGATTTAGAAATGATTTTTTTGGAGATATTGGCAAATGAATATTGTCTTATTAAGTTTCAAAGATTGTTTGTATATGGATCAAATTTTTATTATATATTGTCTTAATTTTGATTGACTTTTATTTGAAATTTATTCAAACATTTTTCAAATAAAAAAATAGTTAGCCTCCTCCTAGAGCTGGGGTATTTTATTCCAAACATAAATTTGGAATATATTCCCCCAAAACAAAAATAATGAGTATAAACTATGAGTTTACTTTATACAATTTTGATGGTGTTTTGTTGGATGAAAAATAAATGAATAGTAAAAATGAAATGTAATGTAAAATGAATACAATATATTTGAAGTGTTTGTAGTTGTTTGATTAAGTATAAAATAAATTAACATGATTTATTATTTTTTTTTTAGTTTGACTTGAAGTAAAATAAATGTGTGTAAGAGCCAAATGATTGTGGTGGTTGGTGACTATCAGACTATCAGTTGTAGTTGTTGTGGGTGGTTGTTGATGATGGAGGTTAGTTGCGGCAGCCGGCATTAGGAGGCAATGGCGGCGGCTGCCTACTATAGGTAATGGTTGATAAAGAACGATGAGGGGGCAAGCAGGCGATGGTGGAGATAGCGATGGCGGCGGCGGTTGCTTTCGGTGGCAATTATATAAAATCGAATTGAAAATTTATCAAATCTAATAATTTTCATATATATTAAAATTAAATTAGAGGATAAATTTCAATTTATTTAAAGTTTTATTCTCTCTGTTTTTTTTTTTACTCCAAAGTCCAAACTAAATATTGATATTTTAAAAGGCATTAAAATTTAACTACAATACAGCATTTTACTTGAAACTAAACAGCCTTGGTGTATTATGAGACTATATGTAAACTCAAACTTCGGATTTATTGGATTTACTATTAATCCTACTTGCACCAAACAGTTTCCGGTGCTTTTTTTCTCGCTAGAGTATCCGTCGATTGTCCCTCTGCAAATTTACCTTTCTCTTCTACTCTATTCAACCCGCGCAAGGTTTCCCGGAAAGCTTCTTGACGAAGAGAGACGGAAATGAGAGGGCTGGAAGAGTTGGCAACGAAGTCCCTTCTAATCTCGCCGGTCCCAGGCGCTCCGGCAGGCGGAGCCGGTGCAGTCTCCGGTTCGTCTTCGTCCCAGGCCGACTGCCACGGGCTCTTGTACAATCTATCGCTCGTCGTGCCGGCCGTGCTATTTGTTGCGTACCTAGCGTCGCAGTCTCGGCGGAGCTTCGCTAAGCTCAGCTATGGACGATCTTATATCATGATCGCGTACTATGCACTCCTCTGGATCGTCAGCGTTCTCAATTTCATTTGGTGCGTTCTCCAGGTATGTTTTCTCCATTCTATGTAGGAATTAGGGCGTCTTGTTTAGAAATCGAATAATTTGTTGGAGCGTTCTTCCTATTGCTTTATATTCTGATACAATTGATTAGAATCCCATACTCGAATGAGAATTTGACGTGGAAAGAGGAATGCTTTCAAATTTTTTTTTCAATAAGAATATTATGAAGACCCCCTTAATCACGAATTATAGGTGTGTTCAGCAATCAGCATTTTGTAGATATGCTTCGGACTATTATGGTTTTGGTCAGAACTATCCTCAGTCTTGTACCTGGGCGAAGAGTAAAACGTAGTACATTTGATTTTTTTTTTTTTTTTTGAAACACTGTCTAGCCGCAAGGGAAATGGAGGCGATCCGAGAGTGAGGAAGCTAAAAGATGCCCCTTTTCGAGGGAGATGATGCATACGGATGGATCTACAAGGTAGAGATGTATTTTTCCATCAATAGCTTGACAGAGAAGGAGAGGTTGACGACAACTGGCCTATGTTTGGAAGGGAAGACCTTGACTTGATACCAGTGGAGGGACATGAGACGACCCATACGAAACTGGAGGGAGTTCAAGGATTGCTTGCTGGAACATTTTTGAAGCAGCAGGGGAGGAGACTTCTGCGAGCAATTTTTCGCCCTGACACAAGATAGTTTGGTGGTAGAGTACCGGGAGAGGTTCAAGTACCTTGCTAGCCAATTGGGCCCACTTTTTGAGATGGTGTTAGAGGAAATATTCATTAAGGGTCTCAAACTAAATATCCGAGCAGCGGTTAAAGTGATGAGGCCTCATGGCTTGGGAGAGGCTATAGAACTAACGCAGTTAGTGGAGGATTAGAAGCACCTGGAAAGGTGGCCAGAGGTAGTAGTTCAGGAGGCTTGTACATGATGACCTCCACTTTCTTCACTCCCAAGGGGCCAACATTAGGAAGCTTTTGTGGGGCCCAAAGGAGAGCTTATAGGAGGGGGAATTGGGGAAAATTTCAAGAAGTTTACTGAGAAAGAGCTGCAGGAGAAGAGGGTGAAGGGATTATGTTTCAGATGTGATGAGAAGTACACCTTGAGGCACATGTGTAAGTACAAAGCTGAGGAGGGAGGTGGGAGCATGACATTGGTAAATGAGGAAGCAAAGCTGCATCTTGACATGACAGAGGTCTCTTTAAATTCAGTGGTGAGATTTACTCTGAATCATACCATAAAAGTGAAGGGAGAAATAACATATTGGGATGAAATAGTGTTGATAGACTATGGGCTACCCATAGTTTTATCTCCAACCAAGTCGTTGATCAATTGGGGGTGAAGTTGGTGGACAAAAGGAATTATGTGGTGATGACGGGCACTGCGAAGGTGGAGAGGGATAGATGAGTATGTAGAGGAGTGGTTCTGACTATACAGGGGGTCCATTAGATCCGAATGAGAGAAGAGGATGTTCTGATGACTGTGAGTTGCAGAGCTTAGAGGGGGGAAGATTGGAGGAAGAGGGAGATATTCCTCTTTTAGTGCAGCCGCTTATACAATAATTTAGTGAGGTTTTTCAGCCGCCTCAAGAATTGCCCCCACTAAGAGAGTAGGAGCATGCCATTACCTTGAGAGAAGGAGCGTCACTGATTAATGTCAGGCCATACCGCTATTCTCAGATTCATAAGGATGAGATTGAAAAGCTGATCCGAGAGATGTTGTAGCAGGGATCATTAGAACGAGTGTGAGTTCTTTTTCTAGCACAGTCTTATTAGTAAAGAAGAAGGACGACAGCCAGAGATTTTGTGTAGACTATCAGGCTCTGAATAAAAAGACTGTGCCAGGCAAGTTTCCCATTCCAGTGATAGATGAGCTATATGGAGCAGTAATGTTCTCAAAGATGGATTTGAAGTCGGGGTACCATTAGATCCAGATGAGAGGAGAGGATGTTCTGAAGACTGCGTTTAGGACACTTGAGGGGTACTACGAGTTCTTAGTGATTCCATTTGGCCTCATCAACGCCCTTGCTACATTCCAATCCCTCATGAACAGAGTATTATGACTATATCTTCCGAAGTTTGTACTGGTTTTCTTTGATAACATACTGGTGTACAACGGGTTGGTGGAGGAACATGTGGAGCACTTGAGGTGGTCCTAGAAGTATTACAGGAACATCAGCTGATAGCCAATCTGAAGAAGTGTTGTTTTGCACAGGCCTGTGTGGAATACTTGGTGCATGTGGAATCTCATGAGGGGGTGGCGGCAGATCAGACCAAGATTGAGGCAATGTAGAAATGGCCTCTACCCAGGAATTTGAGAAAGCCGTGCTTCCTAGGTTTGATTAGGTACGGCAAAAGATTTGTGAGATGATATATCCTCAACACCATAGCCTGGTAATAGAGCAACAAAAGAATGATAGCTTCTTGTGGGGAGAGGCAGTTACCTTGGCCTTTGAGAGGTTGAAGAAAGCCATGATAATGGTGCCAGTTTTGGCCCTACTTAATTTCATTCAGATTTTTGTGGTTGAGACTAATGCATCAGGATATGGATTGGGGTTCGTTCTCATGCAAATCACAAACCTATAGTTCACTTCAACCAAGTGTTGACAACCAGAGCTTGGTTGAAGTCCTTCTATGAGAGAGAGTTGATAGCCATTGTGCTAGACATTCATAAGTGACGACCATACTTGTTGGGTCAGCATTTTATTGTCACGATGGATCAGAGGGGATTGAAGTTCCTGTTAGAGCAGTGGATAGTGATCAAGAAACATCAAAGGTGGTTGTTAAAGCTATTAGACTATGATTCTGAGATCCAATATAGGATAAGATTGGAGAACAAGGCGGCGTATGCCTTGTCCAGATGCATGGGGGAGCTCCAAGAGTTAGCCATGTCGATATTGTTGATGCTGAATTGTGGGGCTATCAAAGAGGAGAGTGTGCAGGATGATGAGCTGGGAAGAATTAGAGCAAACCTTCAGAGGGATAAGAAAAGTTACCTTGGTTATTCTCTAGAATGGGTGATCACCTAATGTCCCTTCTTCAGAGTTCGTAGCGCACCGGAAAACTGCCTATACACGCTTTTCTTAGCGTGGTGGGATGGGAACCCGGTGCGATGCGTACGAAAAAGTGGGGATACCCATAAGTACCTGCTTGCGGGGAAACAACTACTTTTCCTTTGCAAAAGGTATCAAAGACCCATATACGCTTTTTTTAGCGTGGTGGAGGACCAAAAAAAATACTGCTGCAGTGTCCTCATCCGAGGACACCTACCATACACGCTTTTCTCAGCGTGATGGGAAGGCCCAGTTTCCCGTAATTTTCCCTTAAACTGGGGAGACGTCGGGAGGCTGTCGAAATTCCGGGTAAATATGAAATCGTACTTGAGCTTGATTGGATACATTTGAACAACAGCGGACTTGTGAGTTCGGACTTGAACCAAATGGACCTAAATGAACTTAAACTCAAATGAATTTGAAAAGTATAAGACTTGAACTTGCACTATGGACTTAAGCTGAAGCTTAAGCTTGGACCAAATCACATTGAATTTAACTTGAACCTAAACTATAACTTAAGTGAACCACAAAATGGCTTGAACTTCAAGTGAATTTGAACAAGGACTTGGACAAGTTGACAGCGGACTTGTGGACTTGATTTGGACTCAAGCAAAACCAGAACTTTGACATTGAATTGGAACTATGAAATGAACTTGTATTTGGACACAAAGCAAAACATACTTGAATCTAATGAGTTTAAACTTGGACTTAATTTGAACATCAAGTGAATATAACTTGAACTAGTTGGATTCAAACTCAAATGAACAAAGAACTTGATTCAAAGATCAATGCATCATGTCGGCCAGAGTTAATAGGCAATGTTTGACAAGTGTGTTGTTAAAGATCAATGCAAATCTCGGCGATCTAAGCTCACAACTATCTATCAATCAAAGTGCACAAAGAGAATATACAATGAATGCAGTTCATCTGGAAGTCAACATCAGTGCACATATGGGTACACCAACTCCTTTGTTAGTGATAAAGCCATAAGCCAGTGTACACGTTGCAGCAGAAGACATGTTATACATCTAATGTATTATCCACAAGCAAATACTGAAAAGACTACGACAAAATAAACTTCTATGATCTATCATAAAAGACTTATCGAATGTCTAAAATACTCCCTTACATGCACTGTAGTTTGTATACACATAGATACACAAGGGGTAAGTATAATTATAACACCCGCATGGGCCCCGGCGAGCATGTTGTAGGGATACATATGACGTTTAGGGATGCTGAGCGGGTTAATAAATTTAAACTTGATCCTCCTAAACAGGTAAATAGGAGTTGACAATGTTTGATAAATAATTATAAAATACCCTCAAACACCCGCATGGGCCCCGGCTAGCATGTTATTGGTACACACGTGACGCCTAGAGATGCTGCGCGGGTTAATTAATGAATTCAAGTTCGAACATGATTCTTCTATACAAATCAATAGGAGTCGACAGGGTTCAAACTATCAAATAAATATACTGTTGTGACGACCGGTATATTTGTTTTGATATATTCATATTAGGCCTTCAAGGCCTATAATCAAGATAATTCACTAACAAGGCATAAAGCTTACGAAACTCGATCCTCTGTCGACAGCTCAACAGAGTTGATTGGGTTCATCCACCAAATGTAAATATTTTCAAATATAAGTGACCTCAAAGTCATCCCGATGATGGTCGTGTTGAACGTAGATCTCAACCGGAGGGGTGATTCAAATAATTTCAAATGCTCATCAAAACTTCAAAACTCCACAAAAATCTTCAAAATTCCAAACTTCAAGATACTTAAAATGAAATCCAACCCCATCAAACATTTAAAGTAAAATCCATCCACCCTCTGCAATGGTTTGACAAGGTGGATAAATATAAAATTTACTTTAGCTCACATAGAGCTAATGCCTAGTCGAAAATATTACTATGATCAATTCTCAAACAATCTCCTGCTAGTAAGGACGTGGCACGTGTCCTCTGACTGGCGGTTTTGCCGCCAAATGGCACCGCAGGATAAGCGGTTATGACCCGGGGCTCTCTAAACCGAGTGGTTTTGCCGCCAAATGGCACCACGAAATAGTGGTTATGGCCAGAGCCAATATGCTCCTTAATGACATCAAATCCTTGATATATGAATCAATAGGATATAATTGATAGGGCATAAAGCCCTTTGTTGGCTAAGGTGGATTCAAATTTGTCCCCTTAGGCAAGCATTCACCCCAGGTCTACAAGGTCTCTTTGGACGAAGCAACCCATGACTGCCGACAAGGACCCTTCTGTCAGGTTGGGTCGACTACCTCCTCTGACTAAGTAGACCAGGGACCATGATGGCCCGGGACGACGGAACCATGGGATCTTGATCGGGTCCATCATCCATTCCCCCACCATCCGCTTTAAGTGCAAGGTGGTTAAATTTTTATTTTAAATATCAATTCTTCAACCATCCTATGCCCATTGCTGCTACTATATGTTTGATACTACGTATCTACAGATATAATGTATCTGATTGACGACTAGCCTTAATCGAAAGTTCTCTCTCGTGATTGGGAGGGATAAATAACTATTGGGGCTTGCGCCTATAGGAAACTAGAACTCAGATCATAAAGTCCTCGCAAAATGAGGGCGAAATCTCTGGGTAGTGTCTTATCTACAAACCCATCTTCATTCCAAAATTTACCCCGGAACTTATTTCGTTAAAACTCCCTCGCCGAATAAAAAGCAAAGCGGGCGGAGGCCGGTGCCGAATATTCGGAGCCCACAATAACTACATAATTATGCATAATTGCCATAATATAATCCTTTCTAAATCATCCACCCAAATATAGAAGATCGGCGTGATCTAGGTGAGCCTCTCATTGATCAACATATTGGTCGTGTAATCAAGGGTCAAGGGACGGTTGAGATTTTAACACTTAGATTGATAGTTTGTTGGGACAAGGCATAGAGATGGTTGCCTATTTGCATTCACCAATATTGATTGCTGTCATCTGTATCTACTATGATATCTATTTCGACAACTACCTCAATTTCTCTTAGTCTCTTCACCTTGTTCATGTCTTTAGCGGTAACTGCTGATTTATCCATAGAAATATTAATCATTGTATTTCTTTTTGATGTAAAAAAAAAAAGCATCATCTTTCCCTAAAAATGATTCTTGTGCTATTGATTAATTTGATGTTGCTCACTTTGGTGTTTGTGTGATGGAAATATAGAAGTTTATGCTTGTTGGTAGTAAAGAAAATGAATGGAGATGAAAATTTGGGTGTTTATGTTGTACTTGTGTGTGTTTTTGTAATGTATACCTATAATGATGGTTATATTGAGAAAGGGTTGTGTTCTTCAGCCTTTTATGTTATGTTTTTTTTCTTGTTCATCTAAATTGCATTAGTAAACCTAGATTCTTAACCGTCCTATATAAACTTATTTGCAAACTTGAAAGCTTATTCTTATATCATAAAAAGGCAAACTACTGAGATTTCTACAATTTCTACTTCTAAGAAATGTTGGGATTTAATTGTTTTTGTCAAAATTGTGCAATTACCTGCAAGTTTAAGTTAAACTTCGTGTATTTTTTCATGTGACTGGGTTTGTGGTGTGATGTTATTGAGCAGCGAGCTGGTCAAGCAAATTGAGATCAAGGAAAAGGCCTTCTTTAACTTCGTGGCATCAGCTCTACAATTCCACATTTTAACATGTATTTATTAACAGGCAGCCTTTTATATCATAGCGAAGAATTTCCTTGTAACTTTTTTTAAGACTAATTTGGATCTAAAAAACATTAGATTAATCTGGAGGAAGTGGATCCAAGAAATTATTACATTTGGCAAGTTTAGGTTCTATCGCTTATGGTTTGGTAACATGCCTAATTCCAACTTAATGCACCTTTTGTTAAGAAACAATTGGAACGCCATTTGCATAAGTGTTACTCAACTGATTTTGTCATACAATATATGGACAAGGTATGGTTTGCAGATTAACAACCTTTCATTTTACTTTTACTCACTACCGAAGCAAAGAAATATCTGGATTGAGTGTTAGCCCTCCGCACCATGGATTTAAGTTCACTTTCAAAAGGTATTTCTAAACTAAAGTTATTGTATAGAAATATGAGCCGTCATTACTACCTATTGTCATAGCAATTAAAAAATAGATAATATAGATATATTGGGAGAAGGTAAAGCAAAAAATGCAATGTATGGATGAGATGAATCAAGCAATGACAAATAGGGGCAAAAAAGCTTTTTAGGGGCAAAATGAATTTTTTACTCTCCTTTAAGTTAAATTTTTTTTTTTTGGGGGGGCAATTGCCCCCCCTAAGATACATAGGGTTCCGCCCTTGTTGTCATCGCCTATAAGAAATAGATATGGAGGTATACTCGAGTTTTTTTTTTTTTTTTTAAATATTATTTCGGGGGGGGGGGGGGGGGGGGGGGGGTCATGGGGGAAGAGAGAGAAAGAGAGATAATTAACAAGAAGTTAATACGTTATTTTTTTCCTCTAAGGCTCAACCTCGGTATCATCTTAGCCTCCCCTAAGTAGAATCTCTCCCACATTCATTAAGACTCCTCAACTGTGTGTCATCAAATGGAAGGGCAGCATACCCCCTCTTTTTTTTGTTATTTTTCTCAAATCTTAAAGATAAAGAAGAAACTTCTGAAGTGAAAGAAAAATGGTCTGTAACAGGCACAAAAATCAGTTTGAGGAACTCCTTGTTTTATACTGTCTTCAGCAAAATCTCATTTTAGGAAAAACAATGGTAGTTTGCTTATATCTAACTCGAAGTGCTATGCTATTGCAACTTTTTCTCTATTTGCTTAATATGCGATGCAACAGATAATTGAATTATTATTATGAAATATTTTATTGCCACAGCTGCTGAATAATTTATAGATTTAATCATATTTTTCATGGAATTCAGTCATGGCAATGTACACCTACCAAGGAGGTTTCATGGAACATGTTATCACTGTGCACAAAATCAGGAATGCTGTTTCTGGAAATCAGCTTGATTGCCTTTTTACTTCAAGGAAACCATGCTGGTGATTTGGAAGCTTTCACACGCACATTTGTTGTATCAGGAGTTATAGTTGCAGCAGATGTGCTGCTCAAGGTATTCTTTACTGCAGCGCTTATCGTATTTTTCTTCACTTCATAACACGATTATTAAATAGAATCCGCGTAAGATGTTTATCTTTCTATATCCTACTATTAGTGTTATATTTAAGAAATTTTCTATACAGTCTTATTCTTGCCTATTTACTTATGCTATGTTTGCTTTTAGTAATTTTGATATCTTTCCATGTGCATAGCTGTTTCTGTTTCGTTCTGTTTGTGGTTTGGTTTAAATAAAGATCTTTATTTATTTATTTTTTTTGGCGTAAGTTTGTAGAATAATGTAGAGTGTAGATCCTCCTTCCCCTCATCATCATCATCATCATCTTCATTATATTTATATTATTCATCACCTTTGTGGGCTCTATAAAAGGCCTTTATGTCTCTCAAGTTTAGGAGATATGATCTGATGATGAAGAACGTACCTCGCAAGAGGTATATTAAGCAATGATAATGCATTACTTAGAGATTTCAATATCAAGAGAACTTCATTTCCATTGCTTGAAGGATTCCCACAGGCACAAGTCTTTGTTGTTTGCCACCGACAAACCCGTCCCATGAGGTATAAAACTTTTGATCAAGGCTAATAGTCTAGTGTTAGACCGGTCCAATGGACCGGTTCAGCCGATCCACGCGGGACCGGCCCGACATAACGGCGCGGAAGTCTCCACCTTTCGTTTAGCCACACGCCCCCGCCTGGTTCAAACCGAGCCTTTTAGGAATTTTTTTGAGGGTTATGAGAGGGAAATTTGAATGTAGGGATTGTTTATGGATTTCCTTTTGATTTGTATGTATTAAATAGTTTGCTTTCATAGGGTTTGAGTATCTTGAATTTGGCTGAAATTTAAGATCTCTTAGATTTAGGTTTTCTTTGGGCTCTAGCGGCGTCTAGAGATTTGAGAGATCGATCCTCCTCTCGAATTGAGGATCAATTGTATCTTGCTATTTTCCGTGTTCCTTTCATCAAATAATACAAATTATCTACTGTTTTTGTGATTTTGTGCGGACTTTGTGAAGAATTCTCGCTGTTTTCCGAAGATTGATAGGAAATACTTGAGATTTACAAGTGTTTCCTATCAAATTGGTATCAGAGCAAGTCTTGGGACCGTTCGTGGGTTGATTTTGGCGAAGTTCGGCGATCGATTTTGGGTCGGGAAGGGACAAAATGGCTGTTTTTGTAATCCAAATCCGGAATTTTTGGATTCACAAAAGTTCGGATCGAGATGGCGGCCAAGAAAGTTGATGCGCTAGAAGGGGAGATGAACCAAATCAAGACAACGGTGGAGGAAAGGATTTCTTCTATGGAAGAACAAGTTGCCGATCTCCGGGACATGATGAAGAAAATGTTGGAAATCCACGGCGACTTCCGTGGCAAAAGAGGAGGAAAGAAAAAACACGAATTTTGAAATTTGTAGGTAGGAAGATGAGGTGGAAATCGTGGATGGTGAAAGAAGAAAACCCTTTATGGAGCCTTTCCAGAGGGAGGATAGAGGAGGTAGGTACGGGGAAATGCATGAGTATGGAGGGACGGAGCAAAGGGGTGCTGATTTGGAGCGCCGGGAGGGACATTATGGTCGTCGAGATGCTGATTTTGAACGAAGAAGAGGGGAATTTGAAGTGGGTTTGGGCTATGGCAGGGCAAGGGAAAACCGGGAGACGTAGGGTGGGCTGAGCACGTGGGAGAGGGGAAGCTATGAAGGAATAAGGGGGAATGATGGAGATCAGAAGGTGTGGAAGTTGAAGATGCCTATTTTCGAGGGATAAGATGCATATGGGTGAATCTATAAGGTGGAACGATACTTTGTCGTTAATGGGCTAACGGAGGAGGAGAAACTGACAGCAGCAGGCCTATGTTTGGAGGGGAAAACACTGTCATGGTACCAGTGGAGAGACCAGAGGAGACCTATCAGGAACCGGAGGGAATTCAAGGACTGCATAATAGAACGTTTTCAAACCGACCGGGGAGGAGATTTCTATGAGCAGTTCTTTGCTCTGGCACAGGAGGGATCAGTAGCATACTACCGGGAGCAGTTTGAGCACCTAGCCAGTAGGGTGGAGCGATTATTAGATATGGTATTGGAGAGGAACTTCATGAAGGGGTTGAAAACAGAGATTCGAGCGTCAGTGAAAGTTCTGATGCCTAGGGACTTGGGGGAGGCCATGAAGTTGGCACAGCTGGTTGAAAATCAAAAGATTCTGGAGAAGGGAGCCAGGAGCAGCTGCTCAGGAGGCTCTTATAAGACTACGACCACTCTTCTAGCACCCAAGGGGCCTGCCTCATGCAACATTAATGAGACCACCAGGGAGAAGCCAGCAGGAGGGAGGGGGAAAAATTTCAAGAGGCTGACAGAGAAGGAGATGCAGGAGAAGAGGGCAAAGGGGTTGTATTTCAGGTGCGAGGAGAAGTAGACGCCAGGGCATCGTGCAAGGACCAAACTCTTCAGGTTCTCACCGTCTGCGATGACAAGGAAACTGAGGAGGGAGGTGAGGAGGAGATGGAGGAGAAGCTACACTTGGATCTGGCTGAGATTTCCTTGAACTCAGTGGTAGGATTCACTACGAATCATACCATGAAGGTGAAGGGGGAGGTAGAGGGCAAGGAGGTGGTGGTGCTAATTGATAGTGGGGCTACCCACAATTTTATTTCCACTCAGGTTGTTGACCAATTGGGAGTGAAATTGGTGGATACAGGTAGTTATGGAGTGATGATGGGTATAGAGAATGTGGAGAAAGGCCAGGGGATCTGTAGAGAAGTGATGTTGACCATCCAGGGGATTCAGGTAAGGGAGAACTTTCTTCCACTAGAATTAGAAAGTACCGATGTCATCCTGGGAATGAAGTGGTTGCAAACTTTAGGGGAAACCAAGGACAATTGGGAATTACTTACGATGGAATTAATGGTAGATGGGAGAAATGTGGTTATAAGGGGAGATGCAGGGTTATCCAAAGCCATTGTCTCACTTAAGACCATGGTTAGGGGCCTTCAAGAGATGGGGGAAGATTTTTTGGTGGGACTACACAAGTTGGATGTGATCAGGAATGAGGAGGGAGGGGAAATTTCTCTTTCAGGGCAACCCCTAATTCAGCAAATTGGTAAGGATTTTCAGCCACCTCAAGGATGACCACCTCGACCTGAACACGATCATATCTCCACCTTGAGGACAAGGTGGATCTTCGGGAGGGGAGTATTGTTAGACCGGTCCAGCCGGTCCACGCGGGAACTTTATGAAAAGGTTGATGGCAGAGATCCGAGCGACAGTGAAATTTCTTATGCCTAGGGACTTGGGGGAGGCCACAAAGTTGGCACAGTTGGTGAAAAATCAAAAGAATCCGGAGAAGGGAGCCAGGAGCAACATCTCAGGAGGCTCTTACAAGACTACGACCACTCTTATAGCACCTAAGGGGCCTGCCTCAGGCAACATTAATGAGACCACCTGATGCATTTTAAAATTTTCTTTGCATTATTATGTTTTGAACAATATTAGTTATATTTTCTATTTTTTGTTTTATTTTTTTGCTATCCAATGATGGTGGTAAATCCAATGATCATGGTAGGATAAGGTTTGGATTATGCTTACCTTGGGTTTGCTGGTTTTGGGGTCCACCTTGTCCTTTGTGTTGTTTTCTGGTTTCATGAGGACCTTGGCTGTTTTCGGTTTGAGTTTTAGTTGTTGAAGTTCTAGTGGTGCAAGCTCATTATTAACAAGTGAAGGTGTAGCTCATTATGAGCTAATGTTTAGTTATGAAATTAATGATTGGGAGCTAGATTTGGTGAGTGGAACTTGTTCTTTCATATTCTTTTTAAGGTGGGGCTGCTGAAGTTTGTCTCTTGGGCTGCTATTGCATTAGTCCCCTCGGTTGGCTTCAGGATTTAATTCTGTGGTCCCCCCTTTCCCGATTCCTGCTGGTTCCGTGAATCTGTTCCTTGAAACCGTGGCTTTGGCTAACCTTTCTTCTCGGGCTTCTAATCTCTTCGTCTCTCCGCAAGTTCCACTCCACTTGTATCTTTCTTCTAGTTTCGTTGGTAAAGTTTGTTGGCTGTTTTGGTGAAGTTGTTGGCTGTTTTGGTGGCATTTGCTGGAGGAGTTTGGTAGGACATTGGAACCCCCTTTGCAGTGGTGGACCCTTGGTTTGCATATCTAAACCTTATTTTAATATATATTCTTACAATCGGTGCATGTGAGGAGTCCTCTAGTAGGATGTTCTGAGGATAGCTTTAGTTTGTTTTAGTTTGTTTCTTTGTTAACTTTCTTTTGCTTTGGCTTTGTTGGATGATCGCTTCTTTTCTATTATGAAATTTAGTTGTTTATTTAGCCTACTTTGTTCTCCAAGTGGTGTCTTAAATTTCTAAAGAGCTAGTCTTGAATTTCTTTGTTCTCTCTTTGGGTTTTTGTTTCAAGTTGCATACATCACCACCAGGGAGAAGCCAGTAGGAGGAGGTTTGGGGATAATTTCAAGAGGCTAACAGTGAAGGAAATGCAGGAGAAGAGGGCAAAGAGGTTGTGTTTCAGGTGCGAGAAGTATACGCCAGGGCATCGGTGCAAGAACCGAACTCTTCAGGTTCTCACCGTTTGCGATGACGAGGAAATTGAGGGAGGTGAGGAGGAGACAGAGGAGGAGATGGAGGAGAAGCTACACTTGGATCTGGCTGAGGATTCCCTGAACTCAGTGGTAGGATTCACTACGAATCATACCATGAAGGTGAAGGGGGAGGTAGAGGGCAGGGAGGTGGTGGTGCTAATTGATAGTGGGGCTACCCACAATTTTATTTCCACTCAGGTCGTTGACCAATTGGGAGTGAAATTGGTGGATACTGGTAGTTATAGAGTGATGATGGGAATAGGTAATGTGGAGAAAGGCCAGGGGATTTGTAGATGAGTGATGTTGACCATCCAGGGGATTCAGGTAAGGGAGAACTTTCTTCCACTAGAATTAGAAAGTACTGATATCATCCTGGGAATGAAGTGGTTGCAAACCTTAGGGGAAATCAAGCACAAT